GACCTAACAAATTTTGACACAATACCGCTTGTACATAATTTACCAATACTATAACAGGCCCGAAACCATTATTACGACAACGTACCGGCTGCTTCCTTTCATCACACACTGCTATGATCTAATATGCCCGCCTCACCGCGTCAATGACTTTCCGACGGACAAACAACCCAAATACTCTGGACAAATACTCATCTATCGTTTATAATAACCGCGGTCAACCTCAACCTCATCATCATCATCATCATTATTATCATGCAACATTATTCATACACCGATGACACCGTCAAAAAAACAGGGGGGGGCCAAAAAACGACCCCCACCCCCAAAATCACACACCCTCACACAAACGCACACAACAACAAAACAAAAAATTATAACTAAAACAACCGCCCATCGGCGGCTCCCGAACTACCCTTTCCCCCCCGTGCCAGCGCGCCAGTTTTTTTTTCTTCCCTTCTTTCATCCGATGACTATGACGTCATGATACGACTTAGGATATAGCGTTGTCATGATTGGCTTCGGGGAAACTTGAGGTGGTGACACGATTTAGGTTAGCGTTGTCGTGATTGGTCTGACGTCATGGCATAGCGGTGTCATGATTGGCTTCGGGGAAACTTGAGGTGGTGACAGGATTTAGGTTAGCGTTGATTGGTCTGACGTCACGGCACGGCGCAGATAGCGTTGTCATGATTGGCTTAGACAAAACTTGCCGTGTAAAACGGAAAATATCATTATATCCGTTTTACGGGTCGATTTTCGAGCGTCCCCAAATCTGGGTCGCCCATTGGGGCCCATGGTTAAGCGACCTCTGTTGTCACAGCACTATAGTATATAATAAAACAAATAATACAACGAAGAGAAAGTTAGAAGAGACCAGATTAGGAGGGAATGGTAGGATGGTGTTGCATGTAAGAGGGCGCTGTTATAATGACGTCACGGCATATATATATGCAGGCGGGCCCCGCTTGCTTTTCCCAGAATCAGCAGCCGCGGTGCAACGGCAGGATCATACACATTTTGTGACGGAGACAAGAATGGGCAAAATTCTGTTGTTATTTTTGTCGGTGCTGGTGGTGGGGACGGAATCTTGCAATCTACAAACGTTAAGGCAACGGATTGAACATGGACGTCTCATGGAACGAAAATTATCATTTAAGACAGTAAAACACAAAACAAGTTGTAGAAAACTATCCATGAACACTTTTTGTGTATTTTCTTAATAAAAACTGCTTTTTTTTCGTTCACGTAAGCAGCCAGCCGGGCCGGACCCATGACACGTTCCTGTTAAGACACAAGTATACCCACCTCCCCACAAAAACATTTCGCTGTGTCTACCACTGTTCTGACGGAGCTTCAGCACTGGATTTATCTCTTCCTTTCTATATATTATCTTTATTTTGGCACTAGTGTCTGCTAGTTATTAACCGAATCCGTGTTAGTATAGTGGTGTCGGTACTGTTATTCGTACTGGTGGTGGGGACTGAAGAAACGTTAAGGAGCGGTTTCAAAAATGCTCGAGACCGACAGGACTGTTTAATCATCGCCATAGCATCAGCGCGAAAGGAATGATGATGCGGAGTGATGCTGGTGGAAATCTGCCTTTAGACCGGGAAATCTCTTCCTAGTTCTTCTAAATCATAATATTTGGAGTTCTGGCCTTAGTGGCGAGATCGCAAATAGTGTTAGGTCGGAAGGTAGAAATTGTTTTTGATTGAAAACTCAGCCACAGTGGAAACAGAAGTATGTGCGCGGCTGAGCATCCCCTGTTTTCCCATGGTGTTATTTATGGCGCGGTCACATTCCTCAACCCGGGGGCCGGTCGGCCAGTCTTATGGAACGAAAACTATAATCTAAGACAGCACACCACAAAAAACAAGCTGTAGAAAACTAACCATGAGCACTCTTTCTGTATTTTCTTCATAAAATATTGTATATTTTCTTCGTTCATGTGAACATGACACACGTCCCTCACGCTCAAGACATAAAACCATGCCCACCTCCCCACACAACCTCTCACTGTTTCTCCCACTGGTCTGATGGAGTTTCAACACTGCATTTATTTATTTCTTCTTCTTCTTCTTCTTACACTATCTTTATTTTGGCATTATCCGATTCTGTGTTAGTATAGCGGTGAGTATCCCCGCCTCGTCATGACACGACTTAGGATATAGCGTTGTCATGACTGGCTTCTGGAAACTTCAGTGGGGGTGACACCATCCAGATTAGCGTTGTCGTGATTGCTCTGACGTCATGACATAGCGGTGTCATGATTGGCTTCGGGGAAACTTGAGGTGGTGACACGATTTAGGTTAGCGTTGATTGGTCTGACGTCACGGCACGGCGCAGATAGCGTTGTCATGATTGGCTTAGACAAAACTTGCCGTGTAAAACGGAAAATATCATTATATCCGTTTTACGGGTCGATTTTCGAGCGTCCCCAAATCTGGGTCGCCCATTGGGGCCCATGGTTAAGCGACCTCTGTTGTCACAGCACTATAGTATATAATAAAACAAATAATACAACGAAGAGAAAGTTAGAAGAGACCAGATTAGGAGGGAATGGTAGGATGGTGTTGCATGTAAGAGGGCGCTGTTGTAATGACGTCACAGGATATATATATATATATACCCGCATAGCTTTTGCCATATCATTCTCAGCAGCAGAAGCAGCAGCTCGCAGCGGCAGGGTCAGATATATTTTTTGACGGAGACAAGAATGACCAAAATTCTGCTGTTTTTCGTGTCGGTACTGTTACTCGTACTGGTGGTGGGGACGGAATCTTGCAATCTACAAACGTTAAGGCAACGGATTGAAGATGGCCGAGAAGAAATAAAGGAGCGGTTTCAAAATTTTCGAGACCGACTTGAGTTTCTAGAAACCTTCGCTCCACCCTCTTCGCCGGTCGAACTGTTACGTAAGATCTCAGAAACACGACGTAAAGTAGAGAACCTCGTCGATATGTTTGACAGACTGATGAGAATTGTTTGTTCGCCTTGGCAGAAGTGAACTTGGCATTGCACCGGTTGGACGTCGCAATTTTTGGCCCCGCATAGCTTTTGCCATATTATTCTCAGAAGCAGCAGCCCACAGCGGCAGGATTACACACATTTTGTGACGGAGACAAGAATGGCCAAAATTCTGCTGTTATTCGTACTGGTGGTGGGGACGGAATCTTGCAATTTAGAAACGTTAGAGCAACGGATTGAAGATGGCCGAGAAGAAATAAAGGAGCGGTTTCAATATTTTCGAGACCAACTTGAGTTTCTAGAAAAATTCGCTCCACCCTCTACGCCGGTCGAACTGTTACGTAAGATCTCAGAAACACGACGTAAAGTAGAGAACCTCATCGATATGATTGACAAGTCTGATGAAATGTTTTTGTTCGCCTTGGCAGAAGTGAAGTTGGCACTGCACCGGTTGGACGTCGCAATTTTCACCGATAATATGGGAATTCTAATGGGGCATGCAATCCAATCTATAATGAGTTCTAAAAACGTCGCATCAGACTGGGACCAAGATCACCGCATCTAAAGACACCGCCATAACACACAGGCCTGTATAATCATCGCCATAGTATCAGCGCGAAGGGAACGATGGAACAGACGAGCGAAAGAAAGGATGGCGCATCACTTCATGTAGTATCATGTCTAATAAATGTTCAATTTGTAAAAAAAATATCCACATCTACAGTGTCGTGCACATTTCGTCAATCATAACACTGCGTAATCATGACCCTTTCCCACTTTTATTTCCTGTCATATCTCCCTGGAAAGAAGGTATTGTAGTAACTGATGTCTGTTTGCAACGGAGATGTATGCATGTCCGCAGAATAATTACAGAGCGCCTGATCGGTCGTTTTTGATATTTGGAATTTGGGTAGGTCTTTTTAATACCTTAAAATGTTATCAGTGGCATAATAGCGTAAAGTCACAGTTAGAAGCGATTTACCGCGCCGACCGCAAAACCTTTACTCTGACATGCTTGAATATTTACTCCATATTCAACGTGACTCTCTCGCCCAATGTTAACATGGCCTATTCATCAAATGAATGGGCGCCCACGGATCAAAAGACCGTTTAGGTATACTAGAAGAACATCGGTGGTGCAGCACTAACAACCTTAACCAGTGCAAAGAACTAATAATAGACAGTAGAGTCAGAGGATACGTGGAATTTTCTTTCCAGCCCAAGTTGGTGGCAACATTTATCTACGAGTCAAAGGATTTCAGTAATTCATGGTTTCAGTAATTACGAATGCTCAGAAGAGGGCAAGGGGTCACTGCATTCTGGCTCTTAAAAAAATCCAGACAAAAATAGGGCGAAAGGCCAGATAGCATTCTTGATTCAATACTGCACAAACAACTGCTGGAAACTATTTTTACTCTGAGGTAGAAAAACATCATTATGGTGGGGCAATTGGGGACGTTGTGCATCGTTGTCGTCATGACATGTTTCATATGTCTTCTACAAAGAAAGGTAGCATGAAATAAAGACGAAAATAATCAATACACACTGATCTTCTTTTTATTTCACTCAATATGCTCCTGAGACAGCATTACTTCGTGATACATTTGTGCCATAAGATGCATATAAACTAGCACTATTGCTTGAACGTATTACTATTGCAACATAAGCACACTATTATCTCAATTATATTTTACTGACAGTTTCCATCATCTAACTACGAAAGGCATGGTTATTCGTTCGGTTATTCGCAGTGTCATGGGCGGCGATATGTGTGGTCGGTACTCTGTAAGAGTTGCGTGGTCGCTACCTTCGGTGAAGCCACGGGTCCGTATCCAGTATGTTTGTTTTTCGCCGGAGGGTCGCCGAATTGGGCGCGATTGTTGACAAGTACTGTGGGGACAGGGTGAATGGGTTCGCATAAAGAAGTCGGTGCAGGCCCTAGTTGGTTGTTGACAACAATGTTGTTTAAGAAAGCATCCTTTCCTCATCCCCGTCTATGTCTTTCCCAGTTTGCCTGCAGATCGGCAAAATGATTAGTTGCTGCAGGAGGGGAGATTTACGTACATACCGCGGTCAGTGGGCGATGCTGGAGATTCTGGGGACTCCTGCAGTTCAGGATCGGATTTAGGAGAGTGAGATGGCTCGACCTTAGTACTCCTCGATCTACCACGAAAACAACGGCGGTTTTGTTTGGGTTTTATGCACCGTTTCTGTGAAACACGAGCATTGCTACTGTTAAAGAAGTCACTGTTATAGTCTTCCTCACTGCTGGTAGTCATGGCTTCTTCCTCCGATTCTGACAATATAACTTCTTCCACCTTATCTCCAAAGACTACGAAGCCATCTTCTTCATATTCATCATTGTCGTCGCTCTTGTACTCTTGCTCTGTTATCTCTTCGGTGTCTCCACGGCCCTCAATAGGTTCATAGATGTGCCACCGCTTGAATCTTTTTTGCTTCGGGCCAAGATCGTCGTCACTATCGGAATAAAACACCCCTGAAGTTGTTTCCAGATCTCTTGTTTCGGAGTTGGAGTCGACTCTCTGGCTACCTTCAAACCAGGCGAGGGTAGAAGAGTTGAAAGCGCTGTTTGTTTCGCTGTCACTATCCAAACAATACACCCCTGAAGTTGCTTCCATATCTTCTGTTTCGGAGTTGGTGTCGAACTGGCGTAGTCTAGCCTTCCTGTTCTGCTTGGCTTTGTCGGTAATATGACAGCATTTCTCGTCGCCACTATCATTTCTCATCTCTATTGGTTCACACTCCTTGCTGTTGGAAGCCATCGTAAGGCAAAGAGCGCAATGTTTACCGTCAAGTTACCAGATTAAGGTTCTAGACGTGCTCACAAATGAGTGATGCTAACAACCAATCCTAGGTGGTGATATGGGATTTTGGGTCAACTGACAATATGGAAACTCCCGAGCAGTATGTGTTTCTGTATTTATGTATGCATCTATGTATATATGTGTGCATGGGAGGGCTTGATTGGTGGATATGTGATGACGTCTGAAGGTTAAGTAATGCTCTCTCCACAACCCCCTCTCGTTTGATTTATATGTTGGGACAGTTGCTATATAAAGGAGAGGCAGCAGGAAAGCCTTCGAATTAAGATTTTTTCAAGGATCATGTTGGTCAAATAAAACCAGTCATTCATTCGTTCAAGACACAGTAAAGCGGAGTCAATATGCAAGCGGAGTCATCGGCACCCACCCACGCCGTTCGCCAGCACGACGAATATCAGTACCTTGATTTAGTTCAACACATCTTGAGCTATGGAAAAAGAAAGAGAGACCGTACAGGAACAGGGACCTTGTCTGTTTTTGGTGCCCAGTGTCGCTATAGTCTCAGAGGGCAGTTTCCCTTGCTCACCACAAAGCGTGTGTTCTGGAGAGGGGTTGTCGAAGAGCTCCTCTGGTTCGTTCGGGGCTCTACGAACGCCAAGGAACTTTCTGACAAAAAGGTGCATATATGGGATGCGAACGGTTCGCGAGAATTCTTGGACAGGCGTGGTCTGAACCATTATGAGGAGGGAGACCTGGGCCCCATCTATGGCTTCCAATGGAGGCACTTTGGAGCGGAATATAAGGATAAAAACACTGACTACACGGGACAAGGTGTGGACCAGCTAGCCCAGGTCATCCACACCATCAAGAATGACCCTCATGACAGGAGGATAATCATATCCGCGTGGAACCCACCAGACGTGCCCAATATGGCGCTGCCTCCCTGCCACACCTTTGTGCAGTTTTACGTTTGTGACGGCGAGCTCTCGTGTCAGCTGTACCAGCGCTCCGGAGACATTGGCCTCGGCGTTCCGTTCAACATCGCCAGCTACAGTCTCCTGACCTATATGATAGCCCACATCACAGGACTAAAGCCTGGGGACTTTGTACACACCCTGGGAGACGCGCATGTGTATCTCAATCATATCGACGCTCTTAACGAGCAGGTAAAGAGAAATCCACGACCTTTTCCCATCCTCAACATCAAACGCAAAGTGGAAAACATTGATGACTTCAGGTTCGAGGATTTCGAAATTTGTGGCTATATGCCACATCCAAAGATAAGTATGGAAATGGCGGTGTGATCCTTGAGAAACCATGAAAGTAGTTATTTTATCATTTGTAGGAAGTAGGAGTTGTGATCTCTCACCAGCATCACATCTGGTGTCAATTAAGACTAGTAAAGGAGAGGGACCTTTGGCCTCTGGATCAGTCTGGTCCAAGCCGTGGTCTAGTGAAGTTGTGGTCTGTGGGTTACCGTCTGTGGCTGCTCACCGTCTATGTCAGAACGGTGGAAACAAGAAAGGAACACTCTGAGCCCCAATCAGCAGTTTGTAGACCTCTCCAACGTTATCCACTGTTGCCCAATGCGCATGCTCTAAAATAATTTAGATGTATGGCAGGGCGTGTCTCAATTAAGGGGTTGAGGTGCTGAGATCGCACAAGTCGCACAAAACAGGGACCACCACACACCACGCAGCCGGCAAGACAACACGATGCAAGATGACCACGATTCGAGTGTTCTGTCTTCTACCTCTTCTTCAAAGCCATGTCCCTTTAAGCAACAGTTAGTCCTACCACCAGCAGGAAGAAGCAACGACCAGGGAAGCCTTTGCCACCAGCGAGTCAGTGAGGCGAAGTCAAGGTCTAAGACTAAGTTCCTCTGGCCCATCGCCCCACCCTCTAGAGGTCCTTGTTTGCCATGGCCCTTACGCCCGAGACTTACCAACAGACAGCGATGTATTCCATTGAAACTTATTACGACGAGATCTGATATACCACCACCAATGCCAGTCGAGCGTGCGGATACCTACGGCCTCATGTTAGTGAGTCCCAAAATGATGACCTTGACGCGCGGTGAGTGGCACAGCCTTTCTCTTGACATCGGTTTTACACCTTGCTACGATCGTGCTGACGTCCCCATCGTGGCATCTGTATCAAGTATCTTGGGCTTAGTCGTACTCAAAGGTATTTACGTGCACCCATCCATTCATCAATGTGATGGTACCATCATCAGGATACACATCACCAACCACAGCAGGTGCGAAGAGATCGTTGTCAACGCTGGGCGAGCCATTGCTCAGGTTTTCTTCATAAGCAGCAATGAAATTGGCTTGGAGACCCGGGTGCCGGAGCACGTCATTGTGACTAATGACACAGTGTTGGCCAAAGATCTCCCTAGCCTCGTGATAGTCGAGCCAGCGAACAGAGACCGAGCCGTCTGTCGTCCGGATGAGATGCCCATCTTGCATCCACTCTCCAGTACGAACACTCTTCCTTTCCTTGTCGTTCCCTTGGAACGAATCACTAAGCAACATCGCGACATCTTTGGAATGGTAGGTTTCAACAAGAACTCCCAGGACAATAATAATGGCACAACTTATCTGAAGAAAGGCAGCCTAGTAGCTTGCATTCGATTCACCAGACTTGCAAACGTGGACTACCTGTGGTTATGAACGTATGTTGCGTATAGCTTTGAACGCTTTGTATCGAGTTAAAAAAATTGTCATGTGTAATTCTATCATATTACCCAATAAACTAACTGAAGTTATGTTATGGTATCGAGTGTGTTTTGTTGTCTATATTAGCCCACGGTGGAACTTTGCTTACATGTAATGGTTGTCAGTAAGGCTCGTAACAGAAAACAGATTAAATCATCACATACTAATGGATGCGGTCTATCTTTTCAAAATTGGTGTCGTTGCCCCTCCCTGGTGACCAATTAAAACATCATTTGGTAAAACTTTTACTGTACTAGGATTAACGCGCATTCGGCATTTGGAGTCATTCAGCCAGCCGCGCTGTCAACCCTTCCTTTTGCTTAGGTCACATTTACAAACCCGGTCTCGGCCAGACTGTTTGTTCGCAAGAACAATTAACAATTCATATCAAGAATCAAGAATATATAAAAATAGTGCCCATGATTATTTCAAAAAAAAATTGTCAGTGCGTTTACGTCTTTTTTATCGTAATTTTCGTTCTCAAAAGCTGACAGGCCGGTCCCGGTGTGGGCATTGTGATCTCAGCATTTGTTTTGGAGTTAAGGAGTTAATTTTTTCCGTAAGGCGTTAATTTTTTCCAGCACGACCAAAGCATTTTTAGGACCACCTTACTTCTATACCAGCATTTAATTCTCCTGAACATATTATGGAGAAACCTATTATACCGTAGCAGGGAAAGGGAGTTTTTTATGTGTGCCTTTGTACGTCTCACACAGATATGCTAAAAAACCACACAGAGTACTCAATGACTGATTAACTGATGATCTTGGTTAGTTTTATTTCAATCAATTCATTCCTGGGAAAACGTAGCTTCTTGATACGGGGCACATAGGACACACCAGCTCACTGTCGTCTGCAGACAGGCCGTTGCAGCAGTATGTGCATCTCACCATCTCGACGATGTTTTGACGACAATGAGGACAATCCCCTGTCACGTACCCACAACAGGCATGGGCACTCGGGACGTCCTGTGCATCGATATGCCTAATGGCGCGAATCCGAGCGTCTCCTTGCAAGCGCTGGGTGATGCTTTCCTTGAAAGACGACACCTGGTCGCAACGTAAGCATATCGCCCCATCAAGCATCGTTGCACAGGAGTCGCAAAGATCGCTAAAACTGACTTGGAGGTCAGGGAGAATGAAATTATCAAACAATGGACCTGGAAAAGAAAAACTAGCGCCCTCCTGGTCCGGCAAGGGGGTTGGTGGGGGGGGTTGGTGGCTGCTGCTGCTGCGGACATGCCCACTGGAGGATACGGCGCATTCTGGTGACCCCAGGCAATCAGGGGGACGATTTATTTTTAACTCGTCCCTGGGTGAGCAAAAGTTGAGCAGTCGAGGGTACTTCGAACCGATACGTTTGGGGTTTTCATATCGCCGCTTCTTTGAGACATTGCTCACAACAACTGCATCATCCCCGTCCTCATGACTGCTACTCACGGCCGTCGCTTCCTCCTCTGACTCTGAAAATATAACCTTCTCCCCCGCATTGTCGTCGGGCTCAAACACGTCATCGCTGTATTCATCGTCCGTGTAGTCAATTTCGGGGTACCCTTCCTCGCTGCCTGTCTCTCCTATACCCTCTTTGACGTGAACACGTTCTTCGTCACTTGTACCTTTCAAACTACACACTTGTGAAGTTTTCCGATTTGAGGTTGTGTAGGCCTCGGACAGGGTTATATCTGTCTCGGGTATCTTGGACTCCATTCCGTTCTGGGACGGCGAGATGTTTAGTGAGAAGCTGCGGTCTGGACAGATTTTTATGGTAACATTTTTATTTGGCACATCACGGGATCGGAACATAACCAATTAGTACCTCTAACAGCTGCCATCCAATGAGAATCCATGACGTAACTTCGTGTCCCAATCCACACTGGCAAGGCGTACGTGCTTTAGATGGTTTAACACTGCCACCTCCATATTAATAAATGCGCATTATTACCTGACATCATCCGTACGTGCTTTAGATGGTTTAACACTGCCACCTCCATATTAATAAATGCGCATTATTACCTGACATCATCCGGATCAGCGTAGAAATTTACCTAATTGTATATACGGTTATAAGTAATAATGTCTCTTCTCATGTTCCTCTTTCTTTGACTATTTGTCTTGTCAAACTTACGAGGTCAGACTTAAATGCACTGGACTGTAAATCGGTAAATAACAGTAAGAAATCTTTTCAGACAGACGCACAGCATGGCATTTGGCACGAGGTGCTCTGATGGAGATGACTGGATGATTTTGAATAAAGATCAGAGAATAGAAGGACTTCACACACACACACACACACACACACACACACACACACACACACACACACACACACAGACAGACACACACACACACACAGCTGCTGCCAGCGTGGTTTGTTGTTCATCACTTCGTCCCAGTGGAACCAAAGCCTTCCTCCCCTCTCTCCGTGTTGTCAAGGCTCTGTTCTTCTACCAGGTCCGGCATGTAGATTCGCTCACAGATCAGCTGGGCTATCCGGTCCCCTTTGTTCACTTTGAACTCTTCATTCCCAAAGTTGAACATGATGACACTCACGTTGCCACGGGAATCCCTGTCAATTACCCCGGCTCCGACATCTATGAATTTTTTGTGTGCCAGGCCGGATCGAGGTGCCACTCTGCCATAGCAGCCTTCGGGTAGTGCGATTCGGATATCAGTCTTAGCCAGAACCTTGCCTTGTGCTGGGATGTTATAGTCATACGCACTGTACAAATCGTATCCAGCCGCCTGTTTCGACCCTCTAGTTGGTGCGAAGGCGTTCTCTGTGATCTTCGTGAAGCGTAGCAAGGTTTTCTTGGACGCCATCTCGATTTTGGGGCTTTTTGGCTGTGGGCTCTTCAACAGACACACCGAGTTCGGCCTGGCAAAGCTTTGGGGGAAAATGGCGCACAACAAAGATTTTGAATACTCAATAGGTAACCTGGACCAATCATAGTAGTTATACCGTTCTGCTTCGACCTACGAATTATATGTAAATTGTAGACACGCCCAGAGTCACGGTACAGTATTTTGAGTGCATAGAATGAGAAAAATAAAGAATGCATTAATACACCGATTTGTCTCTATTTCATGCTACCCTCCTTTATAGATAACAGGTAGAGTAGGCGCCATGAAAGTCAGCGATGTGCAACGTAACAAACTATAATACTGTTTCTATGCCTCGGCTTTTTTGCAAGGGTATGGGTTCTGCACCCGGGGAAGTGCGGTATTCACGGGGGGAAATACGCATATGGTGTCGGCACAAGAGGCCATGAGCGGAAGAAAGCTCCGCAGAGGAATTCTATTGCTAAACGGCCAGTGTTCCACAGCTTAAGCTCTGGCAGAACAGTGGTAGAAACAGTGAGGTGTTGTGTGGGAAGGTGGGCATGAAATAAACCTGTAAAAAAATATAATATCCTCCATGTCGGGGAATCGAACCCCGGTCTCCCGCGTGACAGGCGGGGATACTCACCACTATACTAACACAGAATCGGATAATGCCAAAATAAAGATAGTGTAAGAAGAAGAAGAAGAAGAAGAAATAAATAAATGCAGTGTTGAAACTCCATCAGACCAGTGGGAGAAACAGTGAGAGGTTGTGTGGGGAGGTGGGCATGGTTTTATGTCTTGAGCGTGAGGGACGTGTGTCATGTTCACATGAACGAAGAAAATATACAATATTTTATGAAGAAAATACAGAAAGAGTGCTCATGGTTAGTTTTCTACAGCTTGTTTTTTGTGGTGTGCTGTTTTAGATTATAGTTTTCGTTCCATAAGACTGGCCGACCGGCCCCCGGGTTGAGGAATGTGACCGCGCCATAAATAACACCATGGGAAAACAGGGGATGCTCAGCCGCGCACATACTTCTGTTTCCACTGTGGCTGAGTTTTCAATCAAAAACAATTTCTACCTTCCGACCTAACACTATTTGCGATCTCGCCACTAAGGCCAGAACTCCAAATATTATGATTTAGAAGAACTAGGAAGAGATTTCCCGGTCTAAAGGCAGATTTCCACCAGCATCACTCCGCATCATCATTCCTTTCGCGCTGATGCTATGGCGATGATTAAACAGTCCTGTCGGTCTCGATCATTTTTGAAACCGCTCCTTAACGTTTCTTCAGTCCCCACCACCAGTACGAATAACAGTACCGACACCACTATACTAACACGGATTCGGTTAATAACTAGCAGACACTAGTGCCAAAATAAAGATAATATATAGAAAGGAAGAGATAAATCCAGTGCTGAAGCTCCGTCAGAACAGTGGTAGACACAGCGAAATGTTTTTGTGGGGAGGTGGGTATACTTGTGTCTTAACAGGAACGTGTCATGGGTCCGGCCCGGCTGGCTGCTTACGTGAACGAAAAAAAGCAGTTTTTATTAAGAAAATACACAAAAAGTGTTCATGGATAGTTTTCTACAACTTGTTTTGTGTTTTACTGTCTTAAATGACAATTTTCGTTCCATGAGACGTCCATGTTCAATCCGTTGCCTTAACGTTTGTAGATTGCAAGATTCCGTCCCCACCACCAGCACCGACAAAAATAACAACAGAATTTTGCCCATTCTTGTCTCCGTCACAAAATGTGTATGATCCTGCCGTTGCACCGCGGCTGCTGATTCTGGGAAAAGCAAGCGGGGCCCGCCTGCATATATATATGCCGTGACGTCATTATAACAGCGCCCTCTTACATGCAACACCATCCTACCATTCCCTCCTAATCTGGTCTCTTCTAACTTTCTCTTCGTTGTATTATTTGTTTTATTATATACTATAGTGCTGTGACAACAGAGGTCGCTTAACCATGGGCCCCAATGGGCGACCCAGATTTTGGGGACGCTCGAAAATCCACCCGTAAAACGGATATAATGAGATTTTCCGTTTCACACCGAAAGTTTGTCTAAGCCAATCATGACAACGCTATCTGCGCCGTGCCGTGACGTCAGACCAATCAACG